GGCGGAGGGGGCCAAGGGGTGGGTTGTCCCTGGCGTGTGTCCCCTCCGCGTTGCTGGCGTCGGTCCAGCCATTGCTTAAGCCCGCCCGTACCCGCTTGGGTACCGGTGGGCGAGCTGGCCTCCACTGGGCTAACCCACACCTCGGGTGCTAGGGCTAGCTGAGGGGAAATGCAATTAGCACTGTTGCTGAGGAAGGTGCCTATGGGTAAGGAGGAACAGGAGGAAGGTTGAAATGAAGGTGTGGTGGTCAGTATGGGGCTGTGGTACCAGGGAAGCGATGATCACTGGAGAAGGGGGGACTTCTTCCCCTAAGGCAGAGGAGGTAGGGGGTTGCAGTAGGAAAAGAGGCTGTCAGCCTGGGTTTCTGAGGAGGCAGTGCAGTGCAGTGCAGTACTGTGCTGTGGGGTGGCCCAGATCTCTGCTGGGAGTGTCTAGCCAACATAGCAGTTGCTCCATAAGTTTGGATGACCATCTTGGTGGCCTTCTGCTGAACTTGCTCAGCAGACGTTGATCATGTTGATGTCTTTCCTGAGGCCCAAAGCTGGACACGGAAGTCTCGATGTGGTCTAAGATACTGATTTAGCTCATCCTGTGCCTCCAGGCATGGTAAGGGCATTTCCTTTCTTCTTCTTGTGTGTGTGGCTGTTCTGGGTGCTTGGCACCCCAGCCTTGAAGTACCGCTCTTGGTGCTGGTGGCTGTGGTGTGGGGCAACAGATCTTGGTCCTGGCTTTAAGAACAGGAAGGACTGATTTGGGCAAGCAAAAAAACCCCATTCTTTCTAACACCTTGTAATCTTGGATTTTTCATGCAACATCAGTTTTTCACTGAGTTTGCCTGAAAGTGTTATAAAATACAGTCTCTATGCCATGGAGGGATTTCTCTATGCTCAGTGGAGCTCCTGAGTTAATCTCATCCTGAAGAAGAGGTGCAAGGGACCCTTATATTGCTGCAAGGATGTTGTGCAGGTAGCTAACAGTCTTCTGAGGGGAAGTGTGAGGGGTGAGGGTTCCTGTTGTCCAGACACTGGCTGTTCCAGGACTATGTGTTTGGTTGCAGGAAACTCTGGCAAGTGGAAAGTCTGTCTGATCGGCATTTGGGAATTGTCTTCCATTAGAGAATTTGACAGTCCTTCGTAAAACTCAGGTTGGAAGTGATGCTAGGTTGAACATTAGGCTGATTTCGATGCTTGGTCTGGAAGACACTGCATGTTACATTCTTTCCTACGCTTGACCTGAATGCTTCGCTGTAACCTCTTGCAGGGTGTGTCTGTGGCTGGTTCTTCTTGTACAGCACAGGAAGGCCCTCTAGAGAAGTTTGAACTTGATGTCCTGGAGTGTCCCTTGGTGGCTGCTTCCAAGCTGAGTGAACTTGCTCTCGACCTATGTCTACACCAACAGGTTTTGAGGAACTGCTAGATCCCCCTTCATTCATCTCCCAGAAAAGACAGTCCCCCATGCCTCTCCATTGCGTTCTTCAGTCAGGCACAGCCATGTGCTCTGGCTCATGGGCAATCTGAGTTAGGTCATGGTTAGCCCTGATACTGCGACAGGGAAAAGGCACCACTGGTGAGGGCAGAAGGAGTTTGGTGTTGCGATTCTGTTTTTCCTCCCTTCCATCATATGTTTTGTGCAGCGTCACTCTGTCAGGTTCATCATGTGCATCTTGTCTAAATGTTTGGTGGTGCTGCAGAAGTGTGAGTGAGAGCAGAGGTGGAGGGCTTTGCTGCCAGACAGTTCAAAGAGGTGATCGCTTTCTCTTTACCTAAGCTGGAACTTGGTCCTGCTCGCCCTCCCTTCAGACCTAGAGCTCATGTTTGTATTGGGTGTGATGTTTGATGTGCCTGTGTCAGATCTGCCCTGCTATGTTAAGGAGGTGGGCTAGGTCTATTCTGAGTTCTCTTGGTTTCAGGACATTGGGGTTTATAAATGTGGTGTGAGAGTAGCCACTTCATGATCTCTGTGTCTTGGACTGTGAACATCTCCAGAAGTTGTGAGCTCAGTTCTCAATAGTACCATAGGCTGCTAGAGAACATGTGTCATCATCTCCTTAGCATGTGTTTTCTATATTGCATGAGACAAACACGTTTTGCTTGTACATTGATATCTGTCTCCCAGATTATCATCAAATAGGTTTCATTTGCCACCAGTCTTGATTGAGCAATCTGGGATTAAGCCCCCACCCAGGAACACTCACAGTGCCTGAGCTACCTGTCTTGCCCTGTAATGATAAATACTTTAATGTGATCTTTCACCTCCTGGAATAATCTTGTGCGTGAGCAAGTGGGATACACTAACATAGTGAACTGAGAAGCTAGAAGAACTTGAAACAACTGCTTTACTAGTCAGTTCCAGGAATATTTCTTGAGATGGATGCTGTCGTCCTTTGTGTGCAGGCTGCTGCTGTGTCTGCATCTCCTCAATCCTCAGTTGCCAGGTTATGAGCACAAGGACAGTTGTGCTTTTTGTAGTAAGGGGCTTAACAAACCATTAGTTAGTGTGAGGGTAAGCGAGGGTAATCGAGTATTTGTAGCTGTCCAACCATCAAGTGATTTCTCTCTGACATAGGCTTTCTGCTGTTGGAATCCTTGGTATTTGGGCCATTAAAGCCAATTGCTATCTGCTTAGATGCCAGGGTAGTCTTACAGCAGAGGTGTTTTGGATCAAGCGTGTTGCTGTTGGTAATGTGAGAGGAGGAAAACAGGCAAAACACTCTGTCAAGAGGATAGATGATTTAATTTAAACAAAGATAGTAATACTTCAACAGAGAAATTAATATCTCCCATTTTTGGGTTTTCACGGGATAACACCTCTGTCTCAAGTGGAATATGCAATATTGATCTACAAAAGAAGAGAAAATGAAATCTTAGTTATGCCAGAATCAGTCCTATAAAAGCTAAAATCTTCCAAACTAAGTGATCCTTGAAGTGTTCTTTCTAATATGTTTGTATTTTCATCAGTCACCTCCATGTACTTCAACTTCTTTTGAGAGACTACAGTCACCAAAATAATGTAACATCATGGAAAACAGCATAAAAAATTGCAAACCAATGAACAGTGGTTTGTAAACCTGTATGCCAATCCCTATACTCATATTCTACTGCTAAAGAGATATCTTTGAGATTTTTACTGGATTAATTCCTTATGTGAAGCTTTAAGGGTGTTCTGCTATTAGTTCAATGATTTTCCAATACATTTTCTCAGTCGCATCAAGGCCCCAGACAAAATCAAGATGTCCCCAAGCAGGAAAATGCTCATGGTAAATGAGATTAGTAATCCGAGGAAGTAGCTTTGCCATGTCTTTTGGATCTGCAAATTTGTCAAGTCCACCGCTCCAAACAGCAATTGGTGTGCTTATCTTCTCTATCTTGTACGCAGGAGGAGTAGACTATAAGAAAGGGAGGAGACCTGAGTGAATGCTGTTGTACCAGAAGTTGTGTTTAGGGAAAGGAATCTGTGAAAGTTGGTTAATCCCTTCTGGTCTCACTACAGTAAAACAGTAAAGATGAAGGCCACCCTCCTAGCATCTATTTCCCTAATCCCATTCCCTGTTGACCATGAAAGGGAACGATCCATCCTATTCCTGTGTCTTTCCTTAATGCATGACTGAGAGTTGTCCTGCAGTTTGACGCCTACTTGTGCCCTTTGGAGGTGGGGCTATGGAAAGAGCAGTGTCTGTGTTTATCAGACAAGGACTGTAGAGTTGTTGTTCATGCGTGTCCCATTTTAAGCTTATGTAGGGTCCTCTTCATGCTTTTATTGGACACAGAGTGAAAGACTTTTAGTTGCGTTGTTCCATACTTCACTTGACACACTCTTTGTAGGTCACAGTGTTGCTACTGCCTGTCATCACAGAGGAAATCAAAGAAACATGGAAGAGTAGAATGAGGATTTTCTGAGGCCTGAGCCAAATGACTTAATGCAGGATGGTTATTTGTCTATGAGGTGGTAAGGGACCATGCACAAGATGCTTTTAAATTTACCCCGATTACCTAAGAGTGATTCTGTTATTTTTCATGCTGACTGCTTTTTTGGGCAGTTTCCTAACCACCCAAAGTACTGGGAATAGAACATTGCCCATTCAGAAATTTAAACTTCAGTGTTTAAAGACCATACATGTGGATGGAAGGTGTCTGAGAAATCTTTGGAGTCTTTCTCCACCTGAAAGATTATGTATCACCCATAAAATAACCTTCCCTGATTCATAGAATCTCACTACAAGTCAATGGATCTGACCAAAATCTCAAAAAATGTCAGGCAAGTTATCAGTGTTTCAGGAGCACAGCATTTCTCAGTGTTGACTAGGCAGTAACCAAAGCTCCTAGAGACCAAGTTTTGCCTGTTTCCTTTTTTCTGTACAGGCTACATCAGTTCACCACAGCAGTAGTCTCAACCGTGCTGTACTGAATCATCCCTTTTATTTTTGCGGTAAGTAGCTTTCCAAAACCAAGGTATATATTTCCACTTTTTCCCCTACCTGAGTCTAGTGTTTAACTGAAAGGCAGACCTTTAGGATTTTTGAGGAAGTGAAGAGCTCCATACTCATCCAGTCCTAGGACTTGAAAGTGGCTCTTAACCTTTTGGGAATGGCAAGTAAATTGACATGTCGTTGGACACATCCCTGCATCAGCAGGGGAGGCAAAACTAACTTCTGTTAGCTGTCTGCAAGGACCTGTCTGTGCCTTGTCTGAACAGACTTTTACACTTACGAGTATTAGATTCAGTGAAACATTTCCTCAGATCACTCTCTTCCCCTTTCTGTAGTACTCCCAGGTTCTAAAATCTGAATTTTTCTATTTTCAGTGTTGCCAGGACCTGAGGATTCCTGATTTTTCTCAGGAAAACTGTATTGCCTTACCTGGTTGTACTTCTTCATGTTTTCCTTAGAGCCATAGTCATAAGCTTGAAATTGGTCTGCACGTGTTAGCTGTTAATATTGTAACAAAGACAGGTAAAATGAAAGTGTTAAGAGACAGAGTAGAGTGCAGGAGGTGTTTTCCTGTCTGTGATCACCCTTCCCCTTGCTAACTTTCTCTCCTGATCCTCAGCCACCCTTGGTATGTTTCGTTATTAAAATTTTGCTTGACTATCTTAGCTAAAGTTGGGGTCCCTGTTTGTGATGCAGAATTGGGTTCAATTGTCACATGAAAATAGGACCTGAGTGTCTAGAATGTGTAAGGGTTATTACTAGCCTAGTGTAATATAACATCTCTGCTTATACATCTTGTCTTTTGTGTGTCAGTTCTGTCTGGTCTGCTCACAGTAGTGGCGACATTTCCAGAGGCTCTTTACTTCTTACAGGTGTTTGTCTATTGGGAGCATGGTGTGATTAGCTTAACAGTAAACTTTTTTCTTCTTGAGTGTGCTTTGTCTAAGAGGAAAAAAAAATAAAAGATTAATCTGTCTTTCTGAAAACGTGTGTATTTTTTGAATTCAAACCTTTAAATAACTGAGACTGTGCTAGAAATCTGCTAGCTTGCCTCTGTTTTCTGACTCTGGGTCCTGATGGTCTGGATCCTGGGAATTTTAGTCAGGGGTGTGTGCAGGAACATGCATATACTTAAGTGTTGGCAGAAGTGGCGACAATTCTGTGCACATACAGTGTGTGTTTCTGAGCCAACACTCTCTTGCCCTGGTCTGATTTGGGGCATAAGCAGAAGAAGCTTAGGTCCAAGAGTGGTGTAAGATGCCAGCAGAAGAGGCAGTTTCCCCACGTGCCACTTATGCCAGCAGAAGCCTTGTGTGGTTAACTGTCTTTGGGAGGTGATTCAGGCTCCAATTAACCCTCTGGGAGAAAAGCTTTAACCTGGATCACTTCTCTGTCTGGATCATCCCCTGCCTGCTCAAATTTCCACTGTTGTCCTACTGCCTGCCAAGTGCTTGCGTTCACTTCTGCAGCTTTCAAGGCAAATGTCTTCATAAATAAAGATGAAGGCTGGAAGCCATTAGAGCCCAACCTACAGAGTCCTGATGTGCCCTGGGGAAATCTCAGTGCCTGATACCAAAGGGGCAATTCAGGTAATGGCCTGGTGAGCCATGGGCAACAATGCTCCCTCTGTGGCAGGTGCTCATGGCAGCACATGAGAAGATGTGATGGGCAGTTTCCCAGATCCACTGCCTCTGGACTTCTCTGTAAGCTGTTGGTTGCATAAAAAGCAGTAGTCAGAGTCTGTTCATATGTCTGTACGCTGTTATACCTGATGCCAGTGAATAACGTTCTGTACTGATGTTCCAGCAGGGGAATGTCCTACGTATGTATCCATTCGACTCTGGAGAGAAAGCAGAAATATTATAAAGGCAGCAGTCTGGGGTTGTAACAGAATAAAGCTGTGAAGGATCTGAGCAACGTATTTCTGCTGTGTTAAAACCTCATTTTAATAGGGTTATATTCTTCAAATATCAAAAAGAAAGTTGAGGAGAGACTCAAATATGTGAGTTTACGATAGGGATGAGTACATAGAATTTTATCCTTTTGGGAGACTCTTTCCAATATTAGTGCTTAGTCACATGGAAAATGTAATTTGGAGAGTGTGTGTGGCCTTTGTTTTTCCCAATGTCTACAGTTTGTATGATGCTTTTAAATAGTGATATGCTTAACTGGTAGAGGAGGATTGTTAACAGACTGTCTGCTCTAGCATAATGAGGCTATATGTGTGGGAGCTTTTTATGGGAACACTTATTAAATAGTCTGAGTATGAGAGATAAGTCCACTGGAGAACAGACATGTGGAAGGTCTGCAAGAAAAAAAGATAGAAGCCAGAGTAAAGGAATGAGATCTTGCCATTGAGAGAAGTGTGAAGAAACAGCTCTGAGTTTTGGCTGAAAATGTTTTCTTGTGTAGCGACCAAAAAGAAACAATCTCTGTGTTCAGATGGTCTGAGTGTCTTCCTATTTAGGAAGGAAAATATGAAACATGCAAAAGAAAAAAAAAACCTTTCTCCATCCATTTGTCCATTTTAAAAACCTTTTGTATCTGTCCAACTTTTCTTTGGCTTATCCCCAGAAGGGGAGACACTGAGGGACATCATTGCAAGATGGGAGCATTCTGAATTCAGCCTTTCTTCCTTGTGTGATTTGAATGTGTCAGGTTGCAAGCTCTTTGTTAGCTGAGGTTCTAGTTGGCATTACTTGAAAACCCTGACACGTTTCTCTATGTCCCTGCAACTATATATAGGCATAAGGCAGAAAAAATATTTTCCTTCAAAATTACTTTAGCTTTACTTGTATTACAATATTCTTGGATATGCTTACCGTATTCAGGTTTTGTATCTTGTCCCCAGCTATGTAGCTGAAGAAACTGCCACAAACTTTTCCCAGAGATCTGCAGATTCGTGTTAGAGGCCCTTTCAGCAGTTCATTCTGGTGCAGAACTCCTTTGCAGCCAAGCAGTACCTGAGGGAAGGAAAAGTGCAAAACTTTTTCCCTTGTTGAAGGATTATTTCATGCAGAAAACTGTCACTCCCTCTTCTCTAATAGCTTTGACTCTTAATGCAAATTGCTGAAGCTGCTTGCTGTCCCAGTATCCTTTGAAATCTGTTCTTCGCAAGAGCATGCCACATGTTCTTCCTGCTGCTTATTATTAGGCATGAGTCCTGGAGGTCACTATCAATCCAGTTTTAGTGCACTGACCTCAGTGAGACAGGACAGTTGGCTGCGCTCATGACTGCAGAGTATAGGAAGTCCCTTTTTGCCCTAATAATTCTTCCAGGCAGGTGCACAAACTATACTGTGAGTGTTGCTGCTAAGTAGAGAGGGAGCAGATGTGTGCTCTATAGCCGTGTAATGGGTACAGCTTGGACAGAAAGAGGATGTGCTCCTGCAGTTTGATGTAGAGTATAGCATGCAGGATTTCCACTATTCCTAGCAAATTCTATTAAATTGGCAAATTCTGGTGTGAAATAGGTATTTTCCTTTAAGTTTCCTTTATAATTTTACAAGTAAATATTTCTCAAGCATAAATGAACTGCATGTCTAATAAAATTAAGATGTGAAATATCTTATTTGTAGTTTTCTGCTAGTGCTTAAGGCTAGATTTAATAGACTGTTAGACGCCTTTCATTCTGGTATTTGTGAGCTTCCTTCAAAAATTTTTCGTTTAAACAAATAATGGTGTATGCCTGTTATCTTAAAGAAGTTGCAAAAGAGATACTGCAACAAGCCTCTCAGCTAAACTCTGCAGAAAGTCTGAAGTCTACCAGCACTGTCAGCATTCCAATGCGCTGAATTAATTCTTAACTCATCACCCTCTTAAAATCAACTCAGGTTGAGTGAGTCCAGTACAGACAAAGCAGACAATGATGTCTTTTAGAAAGAGGAATGACGTACCCTAATCAGTGACTGGGGAAGACGTGCAAATGTTACCAGAGAACTGGTGGCATATGTGATTGTGGCTACTGGTCCCAAAGCAAAGAACACTTTAACCCTTTGAGCCAACTCAGGATAAGCAGAAAATGCTATGAAGCCTGCAAACACAGAAGACACAAGTCAAATTAGTGAAGAGATCTCCACAGACCAAATAAATAAAAAAGCAGTAGGCAGCAAAGAAATGAGACTAGATTAGCAGCCCACTGGCTATTGTCCGTTTCTGTGCTGCAGACCTAAGGAAAGTGTTTGATTCTTGAAACTTTTGTTTGGGAGACAGGGTTCATTCTAAGGATAAAGGTTCGTTAGAGCATGTCCGGATACTGATATTCTCAGAACAAACAATTTTGTGTTAAGGCCATTTTTGGGGGATAAAATGCATTAACCATATTTTCTTCATTCAAATTCCCTTTAAAGTTCCCCAAACTTTAATAAAATAATGAGGTTTTCAGCTTGCAATCTCTAAAAGACTTTATATGTTTATGCAGGCAAGCAGTAATACAATAAATATCTGAAGACTAAGAACAGAGTTTTTACTTATAACTAAGCGCAAACTTGAGTTAGAGTGAATGCACACGTAAAGGAAAAGCATGGGGAAAAAAGGAAGGAAGAAAACCCCAAAAGGCTGCATCTCATCCTGGTTTCTGATCATGTCTGAATTTCTCCACTGATGGATTTGGTGGGAACTTTAACTGGTTGCCTAAAACATGGATATCTAAAGACAGTGATGTCTTGGCCTGAATTATTTGTTCTGCAAAAAGACCCTTAGAACGCACATATGAGAAGAAAGGAAAACAATTGTGTAAGAATGTGGGCACATGCCACTTCCCCCCATTCTCTCCTCTGTTTTTGAGTTTATTTTTGTAAAAGGGCAATAGTACACCATGGCATACATCTCAAAATCTACTCACAGATCTTATGTATGAATCATAAACACTAACACTGTTTTGTACCCAGGCAGTACTAACATTACCTGCAGTTGAAGCCTCTGAGTGACCAACATAGTATACATCCTTCTGTCCAGTTTTATTCATGATGAAGTACAGCTCTGCTGGAATATCATATTTACCTATCTCATCGAAGCTACAGGGGAGAAACACAAAAAGCTAGCAGATAATTCAGCTATCACAGTGTGAGTTAATGCCATATTTATTCATTGCACCAAGCAGGACTCATTGAATGATGAGGTTGCGTGCTTTGTCTGCATTCTTGCTTGAGTTGGGGAAGGGGATAGAGGAATGCAGCTGTACTGGCAGGCTGCCTGATGCCTTGGGCCCTCTGCAAAGGTGCCGGTTTTGTCTGTTGGCTGAGGCTCTTGCAGAAGTGGGTTTCATCACTGCTTTCAGCAGCATGGGTTACAAAAAATATTTCTCTCTCAGTTAACATCAGTTGTGATAGATTAGGTTTCTAGACTGAGCTGAGCAGCCTTCTCTCCTGACTGCACTTGGGACATGGTATCTGGTGGGAGACTTCAAGGTTACAGATGCCCCCCAGTTTTGGAAGCCCCCAGTGTATGGACAAAGGTGACCTGTGTATTTCCAGCTTTGCTTCTGTACATGCTGATTCCAGAAAGACCTGTCCAGATCATTTAGCCAAGCTCTTTTTATGACCCCCTGACATGCTCAGAAGTGGCTGCATATGGGGAAAAGAGTTGGTCTAGTCTCCTTAGATGTTGCATGTCCCACTTGAAGTCAGATTATATGAAAACCAGCAGGGTTTTCGTATAATCCAGAAAGCATTTTTTCATATAATGAGAAAAGGAAAGGTTCTGCATCCCAGTATTAACTGCCCAATCTTGCTAGTCCCCTGAAAGTTGCTTTCCTCAGTAATTCTTTCTCCACAGAGTACCTGAACTGCCAGAATGCTTTCTGGCAGGGCTTAAGGGTCTTGTGTTTTAAAGACCAGGTGTCTCCTCGGCTGTTTCCCAACCAGACATCATAGCCAGCATCTGCAAGGATGAAGCCTAGGCTGTTGTTGGGCAGGTTAGAAATCCAATGGGTAGCATCGCCTAAAGTACCATGGTGTAGCAAGACTGCAGGCTTTTTCCCTGAAAAAGAAGAGAGTTTTCTTATGCTGTAGTAGTAAATAATGTGTAGTTAACTCTGGGGTGCAGAGTCTGGTTTTGCAGGAGTTTTTTAACGTATGTACACGATTCGGGCCACATTCCTGACTAGGTGCTCTTGCTGAGATGGAGAGGTGTGGAACACGCCATTGCATGTGCAAAGAGGGACCCATGTAAGAGCTGGCTCTCAGACTTCCCTCATGTCCTATAACAGTGTCCCACCTGTATTTTGGCTGTTCCTTCCAGCAGGAATTCTGAAAACACCAAGAATGTATCCATCCTCCGTGGTAACTTGGTATTCCTCACTGGGGTATCCATGATACCTGATAATTTCACTCTGTGGGAAGCCAGAGGAAAGCTTGTTAACATGCATTTACACTGTAGAGATGGATGAAGAAGGTGTCCAGAGGCTGCTTCTGTCCAGGAATGTGAAGCTAACCAAGAACGTGCCAGGAAGATGAATATCTATAACGTATTGCTGCTCTGTATTGTACTGGTAGGAAGGGACCCAGATTCCTGCAGGACAGCAGAACCCATGCCTCTGTCTTTCCAGGATGATCAGATATGTGCTATAACATGGCCATGGAGGCTGGAGGATGCGAACGGAAGTGAGAGCACTTGAGCTGTGTTTATGTGATGTGATTTGTGTATGCTCTTTAATGCAGTATCTATCTCTGTGCTGGTTTTGGCTGGAGTAGAGTTAATTTTCTTCATAGTAGCTAATATGGGTCTGTGTTTTGGATTTATGCTGGAAACAGCATTGATAATTCAAGGATGTTTTTGTTACTGCTGAGCAGTGCTTACACAGCATCGAGGCCTTTTCTGCTTCTCACACCAAGCAAGTAGACTGGGGGTGCACAAGAAGCTGGGAGGGGACACAGCTGGGACAGCTGACCCCAACTGACCAAAGGGATATTCCATACCATATGACGTCATGCTCAGCCTATAAAGCTGGGGGAAGAAGAAGAAACGGGGGATGTTTGGAGTTACGGTGTTTTTCTTCCCAAGTAACCATCACACGTGATGGAGCCCTGCTTTCCCGGAGATGGCTGAACACCTGCCTGACGATGGGCAGTAGTGAATGAATTCCTTGTTTTCATTTGCTTATTAAACTGTCTTTATCTCAACCCACAAGTTTTCTCATTTTTCTGATTTTCTTCCCCATCCCATCAGAGGGGGAGTGAATGAGAAGCTGTGTGTTGCTTAGATGATGGCAGGGGTTAAAGTACAACAATCTCTCAAACTGAGATACCAAAAGCTGTGTTTAATCGTATAGAAGCACCTAGTTTACTTGGAGCTTTCCTGACATACACTATATTGCTTAGATTTGGGCTAGGTAGTAATTGCTGTAGCCTTGGTATCCAAGCACTACACAGGCTTATAAGAGTGGCAGGATGACAGAGACCACCTGTGCAGGAAATAAGACTGTTCCTGGACCCTGCAGCTTCATTGTTGTGTGTTAGGATTGTCCTGGGAGTATCTTTTCCCCAAGCATCCCCATGCTCTCCATCACTTTTCCTGGATGCGTCTTTGTTCTTTTACACTTCAGGGATGATGCTGTTAAACAGCTCAGATAAAGCCATCCTGCTTTGGAGGGTAACCAAGCACAGCAGTATGGATGTGGGCTGTTCTGTCATGGTAGTGCAAGGCCCCTGGCCACATGGCTGAGAATAAATATTACAGGTCTTGTAAAGAGTTGCCTCACAGTCTTCTTCAGACCTGCTTAGGTGACAGTTGTCTGGTGTTTGACCCCATATTATGGGACAAAGCAGCACTATATTGAGTGACTAACATTTTGGGAGATAGTTTGTCGTGTTTTGCAAAGCTGACACAGATCGTGACTTTCTAGAGAGTAAACATGCAGCAGTATCTGTATGAGACAGTGCCAAAAGATATGGAGTTTGGGCCATAATGAATCCTTTCTTGCCAAAGTGTGATTAGGCAAACTATGCAGGCAAGG